TGGTACAAGATGAAGTGCTTAACTCTATTACAAAGATTGGAGTGAAATGCAAAAAGTATGCAAAGAATTTTTACTATTTTTTAGCTCTTTTTGATCTTGGAAGCCTTCAAAACTCGTTCATAGCTGTTAGGAGTGCCTTTTATACTTGAAAAATCAACTCTGATGGCTGTTAGACAGATTTTGATCATTGGAAATGGTTTAGAGACAATTCTAGCCGTTAATTTATCTTGTAGCATTTAATTCAAATTTTCAGACAAAATGTTCTTAGTCAACTAACATTGCCACTTAGTTGATTAAGTCGTTTCTGTCTCTGAACTCAATTTCTGGTAATAAACTCTTAGTTGATTAACAAAACTTCTTAATTGATTAAGTCATTTCTGTCTCTAAACCCAATTTTTGGCAGTAAGCTTTTAGTCGACTAATGTTGTCTCTTGGTCGACTAAGTGTTCTCTATTTCACAATCTATTTGAACCTGCCAACTTTGCTTTTGAGTTTTATCCAACCAACTCCCTTGATTATCCAACTGAGAGGCTTTTTGTTTCATTGCTCGATTGTAGCTCCTTATTCTTATAAGTTTTGATATTTTCTTTTGAATGATTAACTAATTATTTAACATACATTTTTGTCTTACATACTTAAATAGAAGAGTTAGACATAAATGAATAGGAATATTTTATTATCATCAAAACTAATGCATTATTCTTTGTTAAAGCTTTAAGTAATTTAGGGGTGAATATTAATTTGATGCCGTTGTCAATCTACAACAAGTTAGGTTGAGGGGATATCAAGCCTATCACTGTGACCCTTCAATTGGTAGATAGAACTCTCACATATCCAAGAGGCATAGTGGAAGATGTGCTTGTAAAGTTGGATAAATTCATATTCCTAATAGACTTTATAGTTCTTGATATGGAGAAAGATAGAGAGGTTTATATTATCTTGGGGAAACATTTTTTACGCACAGTCAGAGCACCTATTAATGTTAAGAAGGGAAAACTTACCTTGCAAGTACAAGATCAAGAGGTAACATTTAATTTCTTTCGAACCTTAAAGTTTACTACTATCATAATGAGTGTTTTGCAGTTAGTGTGCTAGATAAGGCCACAAGTGAAGTCTTCATGGAAAATCATCCCACTAACCCATTTGAAATATCATTAATTTCTAAATCTGAGCCTAATAATGAAGATATTATAGAATGTGTCAATGCATTGAATACCCCATCTTGAGTGTTAGGAACTCAATTTGAGTTGCTAGATTTGTCTACCTATTCACCCTCACCAATAGAACATTCAATTGAGGATTCTTCTAAGTTCAAACTCAAACCATTGCCAAATCAATTGAGGTATGCATATTTTGGAAACTCATCTACTATTCCAGTTATTGTCACATCTGATCTTACTAATAAATGGGAAGAAAAGTTGCTTAGAATTCTAAGAGAGCATAAAAAGGTGTTTGGGTGGTCAATAGCTAATATGAAAGGGATAAGTCCTTCAATATTCATGCACAAAATTTTGTTAGAGGATAATCAGAAAGCCATTATCAAGCATTAGAGGAGATTGAATCCAATCATGAAAGAGGTGGTCAAGAAGGAAATAATCAAATGGCTAGATGCTAGCATCATTTATCCTATTTTAAATAGTGAAGGGGTAAGTCCGGTGTAATGCATACCAAAGAAAGGTGGAGTGACAATGGTAGCTAACAAAAGTAATGAACTCATTTCCACAAGGACAGTCATCGGATGAAGAGTATGCATGGATTATAGAAAGTTGAACAAGGTCACAAG